TTAGATAAATAAGAAAGATACAGAGCAAACATGTTCATATCCTTTCACAGCTGGGCTAGTTTAACATGCAGCATCCACCTCAAACTGTATTGCACCAGCAAAAGTTTTGCATGCAGCATCTACCTCAGACTGTAATGTACCAGCAGGCTTTGCATGTAGCATATACCTCAGACTGTACTGCACCAGCAGAAGTTTTGCATATAGCATAACATCTTAAACTGTACTGCACCAGCAGAAGTTTTGCAAATAGCAAACATCTTAAACTGTACTGCACCAGCAGAAGTTTTGCATGTAGCATCCACCTCAAACCTACTGTACAGGCAGACGTTTTGAATGTAGCATCCACCTCACACTGTACTGTACCAGCAGAGGTTTTGCATGTAGCATCTACACCAGACTTCTGCACCAGCAGAGGTTTTGCGTGTAGCATTTACCTCAGACCCAGTCCTCTAACTGAATACCTTCCTCGAATTGAAGAGTTAGCACTAATATTTCTTTACTTTTGCTGTAATAACTTCTAGTTTATTTATACACGTTATTTATGTTTATGTTGACTGTAGCAAAAGCATGTTGTGTTTGTGTGTAGGAGCCTAATTGTTATATTTGAATAGCACACTGATTTAACATTACAATGACATATACGTCTATAAAATATGTTGCAAATTATTGAAACTGTAGTTTAATTTGTGTATACATCTCCTCGATAAAAACTGTGAACACAGAGCGGCCCTTTGACTTGCACAAGAACGGTAATCCAGTTGACCTAGTTGGCAAATAAATAGAGTCGGCCGTGCTTTTTTACCAGACCTAGGAATTTTTATGACGTCTAAGGTTAGGATTTTAAAATCTTTGTTTTCTTTCTTTTTTTTTATTTTTAAAAAAAGGGGGGGGGGGTGGTGGTTAGCTATATTAACGTAGGTAAATATTTAGTTTCGTAACTTTCAAATATGTACTTTTTAACAATCTGTTTTTTAATATTGTTTTTGTGTGTGTGCCTATATATTGCTTAGGTTTTTGATCAGCTTAGCTAAGTTTTTCAAAAAACTAAAAACTCCCATTGGCAGCCGTGCTTGTAACTTTATTTCGAGTCAATGTCCACTTTTCATAGCCATTTTTGGACGTACTTAGGTAAAGACTTTAAAGTAAATTGCATTTCTTTTGTTAACATCTTTTTAACATCTAGCTCCATATGTGTATATACGTGTCACCGCCTCCTCTTCCCATTCCTCCCATCCCAAACATTAAAAAAAAATCAATAACCTCTATATATCTGTAGTAACTTTGAAAAGAATAATCCGATATTACCAAACTTGGTATAAATGTTGATGTGAATGTCGTCTTTTAGAATATGAATGTGGCAATGCAAATTTCTTCTCCAAGTGCGTTTCTCACCAAAAAAAAAAAAAAAAACGTACGAAAAGTAGAAAGTTCAAAAATACTACTTAAGAAACTGCATACACCAGTGATTCCCAAACTGTGCGCCGCGACGCCCCGGGGAACAGTGACCTCTTCACAGGGGTGCCGCAAAATATTGTTAAAGCATCATAATTGTGTTTAACCATAATACGAATAGTCATACTTTGACTTAGGTTAGGGTGCCCTGGAAAATTTGTTTATTGAAAAAAAGGAGCCGCGACCAAGGAAAGTTTAGAAAACACCGGCATACACAGAGTTGAAGAAATGAGAAAAATGTCTGGACAACCATCTGTAGCGTAAGAAAATGGAGATGGCAATACACTGGGTACACCATAAAAACAAGCAGTTTTTAACTAGTATCTATAAACAGATACTGAGTCTTTTTGTCTGTCTCTTGAAACTATCCTACCACTTGTATCGCTGTCCACCTCTTGCTAACTTGTCTCCGATTCGCACCTCCCCCCCCCCCCCATCCCCGGTATGGTGTTTTAATAAGAATAGTGTATGCATTAATATGTTTAAACATATTCCATGGTATCTTTTTTTCATTCTCTCTAGCACCTCTGTAATTGATTGTTTCCGTCAAAGACAATAGATGATGTAATATTAGAGACAGGGGCCCTGCGTACGGAAATAATTTGGAGCGGAACCCTCTATGTCAGTGGTTCTCAACCTCCCTAATGTTCCTCATGTTGTGGGGACCCCGAACCATACACCTATTTTCGTTACGTCTTCATAACTTCAGTGAATATGTGTTTCGCGATTGTCTTTGGCAACCCTTGTAAAAGGGTTGTTCAATCCACAGGTTGATAACAGCTGTTCTAGGCGGGCAATTCATGTTTAAGTGTGCAATTATTATTATTATTCATGTGCTCAGTGGTGAATAAATAATTTATGAATTTAAAATTTCTTTTTCATTAGAACTCCAAGCCCTTGAGGCTCATTGTGCAAAAATCCCCATTAACCTAGGTCGTGCCCACGTGGGACGCAATTTTTCGTTATTTTAAGTAGGGCATCCTGGCTGTTGTCTGGACGGGGAGGGGGGGGGGGGGGGGGGGGGCGCGATATAACCTGACGGTTGAACGCCGTTACTGGGACCTCTCCACCGGTGATCTTCATTCCCATGGTGGTACTTTGTGTCACCTAGTGTTTATCGCTCTGTGTGTTGTCCTGGCGGTGTAAAATTTAGATCATATTGTTTTGCCATGTAAGTACTGTGATGTAATGCGAAATAAAAACAGATGACTTTGCAAATAACGCGTCCAGGGTCGGATTACAAAACAATGATGACAAAACTTATATATTGAATTCATAAATAGAAGATCAAACTAAAGCAATAGATCAAGTTACGTATTCATGGGGCAAATTTAATTGCCACGGAGCCACACATACAAAAAGAAGATATAATGTGCACTGGCAAGGCAAAAGCAGCTTTTTACGTTACGACTTAAATATGGAATTCTAAAGTACGAAGTTTAAAAAGCAAGTTACGTATTTGTAAGTTTAATGCTATCTCAGTGTTCACAAATGACACCTAAATTTGGGGAACTAGTAGAGGCATGGGACGAATGTTGTGTGCATTCGGAAAAAAATATCTAAGAAAAGGGGGGAAAAAAAACTAACGAAGATTACATGGGGTGAATTCAAGACAGGTGAAAACATCAGATAAATTCCCACACAACTGCTTGAATCATGAATTATAACACACACAAATATAGCAATATACTGAGCAAATCATTTAGAGAAATCGACAGAGAATCGCAAAGCAGGCACTGAAATAGGAAACAAATGGACTGAGGAATCCAGGATGCTGAAGATAAACCTAAAAACGAGAGAGACCAAAGCTGCTAGACATTTTCCATACACGAAATCACAATGATTGCCTAGGATAGAAGTGAACTGAAGAGTAAACTTCCAGCCCCGCAGAACGTATAACACAAAATAATGGTTTGAGTGTGTGCGTGTTTAATTTTAATCATATTTTTTTTTTTAAATTATTCATTGAATTGATGTTTGAGCTGATGTTGTCAGTAGAATTCTTAGAATTCTTTGGATAGCAAAAAAAAAAAAAAAAAAATAATAATATCAGCTCAGATGTTCAGAAAGTGGCCAGGGATCAAATACAACTTATCCCAAAAGTCGAGAAAAAAAAAAACATTTTGAGGTCATAATATGAAAAGAAAACTGAATGTCTCACGACAGCCCAAACCTCTCTTGTCATGGACCTGCCCGCATCTTGTTGCCTGTATGGTAATAAGGCACTTTCAAATCTTGGACTTTCCTACATAGGTCAATAGTCCTTCTTTTGTACTTATGTGTCAAGATGTCGGATCAAGTATTCGATTTTATCCTATTTCTCTTGGGAATGACGTATATTTAAATTCAGCTATATAGGTGGGAGATTCACTGATAGTGAAGCCAAATCCCATTGGCCTAACTATCGCTTTCGGCGTGGATTAATTCCCCCCCCCCTCCCCTTCTTGACTCTAACTGGAGAGACGCTTAGTTTTGAACTCATTCTTTACTGAGCTTCCAGAGTGACCCGATCGCTATTTGCTTACCTCCATTTAAAACACGGATTCCCCCGGGAACGTCCATGAGCATGGGCAAGTACATTATAGATTATTAGTACCTTATTCGGCACTGCTGCTTAGTGTAGGACAGATGTAGCTATGTGAAGCAACCGGACCGGGCTGTCAAACAATTCAAACTTCAAGAAGTCGTGAGACGAGAGCGTTCCCTTTCAGACCGAGGAGAATTCTCTTATTCGACTCCTTCAATGGGTTACAGACAGCTCGAAAATTACATATCCATTTTATAATATGACTGTTCACCTTTATTAGATATATACACCAGTTAAATAAGGGAGTATCTAAAACGAACGGGTCAGGTCAAACCGTATCAGCTGGGGTCATGCTAGCTTGGTACGGGTGTGACGTCACGTCCACAGAGCCCGAAATGTAAACAGGACAATGTTGAGTAAAATTAGTGTGTCGTTTTGTGTGGCTAGTATGCTTTCTATACACCTATATTCCTATATTCATTGTATACTTGTGTGAGCATAGTAATCTAATATAGAAAGGAAATGGTATTATACCTCTTTAAGTTGGCATATGCAGACTAACTCTGCCAGTAAAGATCAATCAGCACAAGACAGAACTTTGTTTCTTTCTAGCCTCACAGTTGTCAATGGGATTCCTGGGATTGTCACAGAGTATGCAGTCTATAAAAGCCTAGCACAGATCTCTGAGCTCATGCTATGTGGATGTATGTATGGGTGATAAAAATGGTACGGTAGCAAATCATCATTGTGGAGACTGCACCTGACTGAATGACTGATTGATTTTCATGTGCAAATATAACGGTAGCCCGTGGATTCGTCGCTTTAGCTTCGAAGCTCGTACTTTCTGTGACTTTGGGCAGGCAGCTACTAGTCTTGTAGAG